TACTGAGCATGCGCAGTCCGTGTGCGCATGCACCCCCCCCTCAGCGAGCACGTGCCTCCAGCGAGCCCTTTCCTTGGCTACCCCCTGGCGGGCGGTGCAGAAATTGCTGCGAGCCAGGCCAGCCCTGCAGAACCCTCGTTCTTTGCCACCCCCGCACCTTCAGCCAGCCTGCACTAGGGGAGAAATGCAATTTACCACGCGCAACTCCAGTCGACTTCCCTTGCTCTTCCCCACCCCCTGGAGCAGCAGGGTGGACAAGGCGCTTGCAGTGTTTGATTTAGCAGGTCCTTACTAGACCCGCTAAATCAAACCCGCAAGAGCACTCTCTGGAGCGTCAATATCCTTGTGTTAGATAAGGCCTTAAAGACTAACAGATTTATTTGGGCACAAGCTTTCATTGTTTCTGAAGATACAGACTAATGTGGCTCTCTCTCTGATATTTTTCTTTGGCATCATTTCTACATCTTGGGCAAGGCTGGCCCAAAAGATTAGCAATTGCACGCATAATAGTGTACAACTCTGCATAGTCTTGGAGGGGTAGTCTTGTTAGTCTGTATCTACAAAAAACAACGAGCAGTCCTGTGGCACCCTAGGGCACATTTACCCGGCAGAGCAAAATTTGAATTAAGCTACGCAACTTGAGCTACGTCAATTGCAATATCTTAACTCGGCTTTTGGTGCTGTCCACACAGCAGGAAGTCAAATGAAGAACACTCTTCCTTCAACTTCCCTTACTCCTCGTGAAATGACTTGGAGTAAGAAGTTGGAGTAAAAAGTCTCCCAGCTCACCATTATTTCAAAATAATGCTTGCAGTGTAGACGCTCTCTTTTTATTTTGCAATAATGTTAGTAGACATACCCTTCAAGACTAACAGATTTATTAGGGCATAAGCTTTCGTGAGTAAAACTCGCTTCATCAGATGAATTGGAATGGAGTTTACAGAGGACTGGGGATATATAGAGAGAGAAACAAAAAAAAGAACATTTACACAAGTACCCTGTTTCTTCTGTTGTCCTTCTATGTATACCCATGTCTCTCTAAACTCCATTCCAATTCATCTGATGAAGTGGCTTTTATCTACGAAAGCTTATGCTATAATAAGTCTGTTAGTCTCTAAGGTGCCACAGGGCTCCTTGTTGTTTCTGCGTAGTTCATCAAAAGAACACAGTATGATCCCACTGGTGGCAGTTATTTTGGTCATTTATTTCAAAATACCTGCTGGCAGCTTGGGCACCAAAAAGACTTAAGAAATGGGGTTTTTTGACTAAGAGATTCCTTACAAGGCCTATTAATACAGAACTGTGAATGATAATTCATTTAAAGGACACTGCATTTCTCGCGCCCCTCAGAAGCAGTGCAAAGCCTTGGGGGAGTCAGGAGTAACGGAGGAGCTGAGGGAGAGGGAAGGAGCATGGAAGTGAACCTGAAGGGTGGAGCGCATGGCCTATGAGGAGAGACTGAGGGATTTGGATTTGTTTAGTCTGCAGAAAAGAGTGAGGGGGGATTTGAGAGCAGCCTTCAACTTCCTGAAGGGGGGTTCCAAAGAGGACGGGGCGAGGCTGTTCACAGTAGTGAGGGATGGCAGAACAAGGAGCAATGGTCTCAAGTTACAGTGGGAGAGGTCCAGGTTGGACAGTAGGAAAAACTATTTCCCTAGGAGGGTGGGAAGCGCTGGGCTGGGTTCCCTAGGGCGGGGGTGGAATCTCCATCCCTAGAGGTGTTTAAGTCCTGGCTTGACAAAGCCCTGGCTGGGTTGATTTAGTTGGAATTGGTCCTGCCTTGGGCAGGTGGCTGGACTTGTTGACCTTCTGAGGTGTCTTCCAGCTCTATGAGTCTATGGTTGCTGGATGTGGGTGGGAGAAGGGTTGTTTTCGGGGGGAAAATCGGGGTTGTTGTTTGGGAGTTAGGGAACCTCCCTTGGCCAGACCCTGGCTCATCTGTAGCCTCTCCCATTGTCAGGCACATCTGCCATGAGGCCATGCAGCCTGTGTCCTCATATGACTCTGCCCCTTGTACCTCATGTGACCCTGCGGCCCCCTTCTCATCCAGTCCCTGGCTCAATGCTGTCACCCCATTAATTCCTGAGCCCTTGTCCCCCTCCCCCACTAGCCCTTCTGAACCCCAGTATCCAGCAGCCTAGTGTGCCACACTCTGTCCCTGCTGGGCCTCCTCACCTAGCCCCACTGTGGGAAAGCACCTACCAGTTGGCTGCCCTCTCTTCTGGTGCCACAGCAGCCCCTGGTGGGCAAAACATGAAACTGCAGTGCCTCTCCAGCAGAAGCTATCTTCTGCAGAGAAAAAAAATCTGTGGGGAAAACATGAATTGTACATGTGTACAGTGGTGCAGAATTCCCCTGGGAGTAAATTTAGTATTAATACCACATTGGGAGGTCTTTCTTCCCATATACTAGCCACGCCTGGCCCTGTTTAGTTTATCAGATCTGATATCACATCATGCTGACTGTAGGCTTCTAATGAAGGACATTTGGTATACAGACATATTCCTGTTCTGGTACTTCAGAAATCTCACTTTCATGCCATAGCAGGTGGGTTTTGTCCTTTCAGTGTATAGCATTACGTTAGCCACAGTTATACATGCTTACTATGAAAAGGACACTGGTGAGTAATGGCTTTAATATTTTCACTTAATATTTCCAATGTTTGTAAAGAATTCCCTTTATGAAGTCTGGAGATAACATTTTTCTCTCTACCAGTCTTTTCCATGGGGTAAGCATTGATTTTGCTTTCTCTGAGCTGAAATGAACATGACTTTTTTGGTTTGCTTCCTCGTTGGGAATTAGCTTGTCAGCCTGAGTTCTTGTAGTTGTTTTAATAGTTCAACATGGCTGTAGATTATAGAGTGGAAGCATTTTGATTTTGTTTCACCTCTGCTTGATCAGTGGTCACAGGTCTTAGTTTCATCTTGAAACAAAGGGGTTACTTAAAACGATATAGGTACTTAGAACTGTGAGAATGTTGCCCCACCAGACTGCAATCAAATGTCGGGTATGTACACTAGTATAAAATCTCAGAAAGGGTATGTTTTCTTCTAACACTAAACGAGGAACTTTGTTAAAATGAGAAAAATGTGGTTGGCTGGTTGGTTTTTGTCTTTGTATAAACCACCTGTAACAAGAAGTAGTCTTTAACACCAAGACTGATGGCCTTTCCCATTTTTTACTTTGCAATGGGGGTGTGATCTTTTTTATGCTACCTCTGACCAAGGCTTTGCTCTGGTTTGTTAGTGTAGGGTCTCAGGGTTCGTCTTCACTACTGCACTAAATTGGCATGGTGACACTAATGTTGCATGTCTGGTTAAGATGCAGCCTGACCATGTAATTACTCTATCTTGGTGAAAAGTACACCAAGCCTCATCCAGGCAGCCTTAGCGTGCAATGCAATGACTTCTACAGAAGAGACAGGAGGCTTCTCCAAGCTTGGCACCTAAGGCAAGGAGTCAGAATCTGCTTATAAACAGGCCAGGTCTACAATAGATAGGTAGCAGGAGTTGGCTTACGTAAAATAAATAGCTGGAGTTGGCTTACCTTAAGCCAAGATTGGCACCATCTTCATAGAGGGAGGCCAACAGAAGCAAATGCTCCTGTCAGCTTCCCTTACTTCTCACAACTGCATGAATACCAGAGCCGCCCTCAGTGTTCGATTTAGCGGGTCTTAAGTAGACCCGCTCAATCGAATGCCAGAAGGTGGATCTCGGGTGTGGCAAGTGGTGAAGTTGCCCTTTCCCTGCAGAAATCTGAAATGGTGGCTCTGTGGGCTTGCACAGAATTTGCACAGCCCTGTTGGCTGGATTGGAGCCGTCCTCCCAAATACAGAAGTCCAACGAGGCCTATTATCAGTGACAGAGCATCTCCCTGACATAAGCGTGCTGTGGAGGCTGCTTTAAGTCAATGTAAGTTACGTTGCTTAGAAGGGTGTGTTTTTTCACACCCATGAGCAACATATCTTACATGGTCTGAAGTAGTTGTGTGGACAAGCCCACAGTCTGTGCTGCTGCTGTTAGGTTTTTCCTTTAATAAATAACATAGCCCCAGTTTGAGTGGAATGATTAAGATGGCCACTTGGGCCTTAACTCTCCCTTCTGGTGCCAGTGGTCATGGTACAGATGGGGTGGAGCAAGGGGGCAGTTGCCCCAGGCCCGATGATTAAAAGGAGCCTGGGGATCCCAGCTTCTGCTACTCTGCTTTCATTTGCCATCAGAGCACCACACCGTGTGCTCTGTGTGGCGCTGAGGGTTGGGTTTTGCCCCTTCTGCTGGGTGTGTGGACCTGACCCCTCCACACACCTTGCCCAGGGGCCTACCCAGACTGTCAGCTTCTCTGTCACCAGCCTTCTGTGTGCTACAGATGCACTGATGGCTTTCTAAGTTGTCTCTTCTGGCTTTGGTCAATGTGAGTACATTCCTTAATGTCGCTGTAAGATAGCTTTTCATATGTAACTGTCACGAGGAAGAGAATTCAACTGAACAGGCTATCTTAGAGTTCATGAGTTTTTAATGGCTTCCCTGATCCATCCATAGCATTTACAACCCAGGCAAACTATTTCCATTCACGTTACAGCAAAGATTTTGCCGTCATAGAATGACCTGATTGTCCACTTTATATTCCAGGGATTGTACCATGCAAACAAAGTTAATAAGAAGCTTTGAATTAAGCTCCAGGGTCACTGGAGAAAGAGTTGATTGATTCCTGAGTTATTTATGCCCTATTTGATTGCTTTAATTTACTGCACATTTATAGCTGCAGTGTGTTGGTAAAGCTGTTGTAGGAATAATTATCCTGGACTTCAGAAATATGAGTATTAATATTTTCAAAATTTCCTGATAAACACAGTGAAAATACCTCTAAAGATTGAGGGTGAAACAAATAGGCAACGTCTGCAAGTTTTAATCAGTATTTTGGTAAATGATCCTAGAAAAAAAACCTCATAAAACATCCCCTGTGAATGACAACCAAAGGCCATTTGCCTCCCTATTTTCATTCTTCTTTGCAACAAAATAATTGGAGGGATACCACCCAAATCTAATTAGATGGGGATTTTTCAGATTCTCCTTATTAGTAAACTCATAAAAAATCTGTTGAGTGGTCGAGAGACGCAGGATGCAAGTAACTGCTATTATCATCCAATAGGACTCCTATCACCGAGAGTGAGAAGGCCTCTTATAAACAGCCTTAGATAACAGCTATACACAGAAACAGTCTTTAAGATTAGGAAGTCAGAGTGAAGGGCAGGAACAGAGAGAGCTCCTGACCCATGCATCAGTGCATCGTACATTCTTTAACAGCAGCCTTCGTGGCTTTCCCACCATGGCTTTCTTCCTTCTTTTGCCCAAAGACATTCAAAATAGTATTTTGGTTGCTGTTTGATTTGGTTGTTGTAGCCCATGTTTTGAAATGTCTCTTTTCCTGCCGTTACGCAGGACACCTAGCTTGCCTTCACCTCCAAATGACCAAATGCAGAATGGTATTCTGAAATGCCTCCTTCCGAAGAAACGCAAGACAATGGTGAGTGGAAATATTCCAATGGAGCCGCTTGTCTTTGCCCGCTGGGGACGCACTGGCAGCTTGCTAGGAGCACCAAGGATCATGCCAGACACATAAAAGGAAGCAAATTGCAGCTGCTTTTGGCTCTGTGCTCTGCACTGCTGCTGCCCCAAGCACAGTCTCGCAACTCCCACTGGCCGGAAACCAGCCAATGGGAGCTGCCTGGGCTGTGCTTGCAGCGCACAAAGGGTCCCCCTCAAAGGGGCACATAGTATGCAGAGAGCACATGGCCTCTGCAACCAGCTGCTTTGAATGGCGTGCAGAGTGTGGCAAGCAGGGGGCGTGCCTGAGACTCTCGCTGGGCTGCTGGCTGGGAGCCGCCTAAGATAAGCACCTCCTGGCCAGAGCCTAGCAACCTCCCCGCAACTCTCTGCTCCCCCCCTGCACCCGTGCCCCAGGTGACAATACAAACCCTCTGCATCCATACCCCCACACAGACCCTGCACCCCAATTCCCTGCCCCAGGTCACAACCCCTTCTCAGACCCTGCACCCCATCCTACACTCCTCCTCCAGGTCAGAATCCTCCTGCATCCATACCCCCTCACAGACCCTGCACCCCAAACCACTGCCCCAGGCCACAACCCCCTCCTTCACCCAAACTCCTTCCCAGGCCCCAGATTCCCTCCTGCACCCCAATCCCATACCCCAAGCTTGCTTCTGCACCTACTGTCCACCCCAGACCCTGCACTTCCTCCATTAATATCATGGAAGAGTGTGACCCTTGACCACTTACCAAATACTTGCATCAAAAGTTATTGCCCACACTTGCCATAAAGGCCACAGGTCTCAGCCTTCAATGCTTCAATCTCTGTCCTTTCAAGTCAAGGAACAATAATGCAGGCTGAAGGCTTTCAATAATCAACTGCAGCTTTTTGATGGGAGATGGGAGAGAGGGGGGAATTAACAATTGTGCTTTAATTCTCTTCTCCTCTTGGCTGCAGTTTTGTGAGTACACCCGCAACATGGCCAATGACCAAAGCCAGCATTTGGCCGACGCCGTAAACAAAATTAGACCTGACATCACATGCTATGTAATCACGAGCTAAAGGGCTACTTACAAGAACAGCAGTTCCTTCAAAAGTGGCAGTCTTACTGAGGAAAATAAACCTTAACCTGCTTGTAGACGTGTGCCCCATTCACAGAGATCAAACTCCGGAAACACCATTACTGTTGATAACTAGAGATGAAAGAGTTACACGTTGTTTCTTTAAAAAAACCCAAAACCCCATTGTGTGATTGTGGTGACGCTCTGGGATCCGACACATAGTACAGGAACTCTCAGTGCAAACTGTACTGCTTTGTCCTACAACCGGGAACTCATTCGAGCCCTTTCTTCGCAACACAATGTGTTTTTCAAGGCTCAGTACATTGGAATCACAGTGCTCCACCAGAACAATTTCCCCACTTCTTCCTGAGGTTGGAGGGTCATTTAAAGCATCGCATTGATTTGGCATCCTGAGATGTTAACACTTTAGAAAGATTCCAGACATGAGGAATTTGAATCTGACAATCAGAACTCCAACGATCCCGCGGTAAGGGTACGTCTAGACTACATGGCTCCATTGACGGAGCCATAGAGATTAGTTTACTCGACAAAGGGTCTAGATGGTGTTTGTTCCTGGTAGGAGTGCAGGGGACTGGACTCAATGACCTTTTGAGGTCCCTCCCAGTTCAACTAGTCTTTGGATATGACCACCTGTAGCTGAGAGAGATTTTTTTTCCTGGCACCTTCTCTTCCTTGCGTTTAACTGTCCCTTGAGGTCCTGCACTGATCCATCTGTGCTGGTTCAAGAAAGGCTTCTGATTATTCTAATCCCAGTTAGAAAATGCGAGGCACAAAAGGATTCACAGGCATGATCTCGGCTTTTCTTTCAGGCCTTTCAGTTTTCTCTTGGGGGTCGTTTGTCCACATGGCCTGCATATGCATCTGGGCAGGCGATCCTACAGAATCGGAAACCCTGTTGCAGTCCAGAGGGCAGAAGGTAAGACTAGCACTATGACTAGTGCTAGGAAAAACGGCAGCGTACAGCCCTTGGTCTGGCCCCGAGGTTCCAGGGTAGTAAGAAGTGGTCTCATATAGAACAAAATCACCACCAGCATGCTTCAGCTGCATCACTGGGAACTGGGGTGCTGGGCAGTTCTGCCCTGCGGCTTGGGGGGGACAGGTGTTTCAGTCACATGCAGGGCTTAATGGAAACCCCAAACTCGTTCTTAACCCGAAAATGGCCTTTGGGGTCTGTGGATGCTTTGTGCCACATCACGCTGGGCCCACCAGCCACCAAGGTGCTGTGATGCTCTCCTAACGAAAAGTCCAGGGTTTAACATGTAACGGTTGTTAATTAGCCCAATGCAGCATGTGTGGCCGAGGGAAGCAGAAAAAGGCAGCCCTGTCTAGAGGCCACAGTGAGCTCTGGGGTCCCTGGGCAGGGAGCTGGGATTTTCTCTGAGTCAGCTGAAACTTATCAATTGGCATTTGTCAGCTCCTGAGACACAGCACCCTCAGCCTGCTTGGCTGTGCTGGAAAGGGAACCGAGGGGGGGCACGTCCTGTAGGTGGCTGAAGAATCCTGATGTCAGCCTGTTGGGATTAGCCCTGCGCCCACGGGCACTGCCTTTACCGGCCCCCTTCTCCAGGAGTAGCCCTGCGCCCACGGGCACTGCCTTTACCGGCCCCCTTCTCCAGGAGTAGCCCTGCGCCCACGGGCACTGCCTTTACCGGCCCCCTTCTCCAGGAGTAGCCCTGCGCCCACGGGCACTGCCTTTACCGGCCCCCTTCTCCAGGAGTAGCCCTGCGCCCACGGGCACTGCCTTTACCGGCCCCCTTCTCCAGGAGTAGCCCTGCGCCCACGGGCACTGCCTTTACCGGCCCCCTTCTCCAGGAGTAGCCCTGCGCCCACGGGCACTGCCTTTACCGGCCCCCTTCTCCAGGAGTAGCCCTGCGCCCACGGGCACTGCCTTTACCGGCCCCCTTCTCCAGGAGTAGCCCTGCGCCCACGGGCACTGCCTTTACCGGCCCCCTTCTCCAGGAGTAGCCCTGCGCCCACGGGCACTGCCTTTACCGGCCCCCTTCTCCAGGAGTAGCCCTGCGCCCACGGGCACTGCCTTTACCGGCCCCCTTCTCCAGGAGTAGCCCTGCGCCCACGGGCACTGCCTTTACCGGCCCCCTTCTCCAGGAGTAGCCCTGCGCCCACGGGCACTGCCTTTACCGGCCCCCTTCTCCAGGAGTAGCCCTGCGCCCACGGGCACTGCCTTTACCGGCCCCCTTCTCCAGGAGTAGCCCTGCGCCCACGGGCACTGCCTTTACCGGCCCCCTTCTCCAGGAGTAGCCCTGCGCCCACGGGCACTGCCTTTACCGGCCCCCTTCTCCAGGAGTAACCCTGCGCCCACGAGCACTGCCTTTACCCGGCCCCCTTCTCCAGGAGTAGCCCTGCGCCCACGGGCACTGCCTTTACCCAGCCCCCTTCTCCAGGAGTAGCCCTGCGCCCACGGGCACTGCCTTTACCCAGCCCCCTTCTCCAGGAGTAGCCCTGCGCCCACGGGCACTGCCTTTACCCAGCCCCCTTCTCCAGGAGTAGCCCTGCGCCCACGGGCACTGCCTTTACCCAGCCCCCTTCTCCAGGAGTAGCCCTGCGCCCACGGGCACTGCCTTTACCCAGCCCCCTTCTCCAGGAGTAGCCCTGCGCCCACGGGCACTGCCTTTACCCAGCCCCCTTCTCCAGGAGTAGCCCTGCGCCCACGGGCACTGCCTTTACCCAGCCCCCTTCTCCAGGAGTAGCCCTGCGCCCACGGGCACTGCCTTTACCCAGCCCCCTTCTCCAGGAGTAGCCCTGCGCCCACGGGCACTGCCTTTACCCAGCCCCCTTCTCCAGGAGTAGCCCTGCGCCCACGGGCACTGCCTTTACCCAGCCCCCTTCTCCAGGAGTAGCCCTGCGCCCACGGGCACTGCCTTTACCCAGCCCCCTTCTCCAGGAGTAGCCCTGCGCCCACGGGCACTGCCTTTACCCAGCCCCCTTCTCCAGGAGTAGCCCTGCGCCCACGGGCACTGCCTTTACCCAGCCCCCTTCTCCAGGAGTAGCCCTGCGCCCACGGGCACTGCCTTTACCCAGCCCCCTTCTCCAGGAGTAGCCCTGCGCCCACGGGCACTGCCTTTACCCAGCCCCCTTCTCCAGGAGTAGCCCTGCGCCCACGGGCACTGCCTTTACCCAGCCCCCTTCTCCAGGAGTAGCCCTGCGCCCACGGGCACTGCCTTTACCCAGCCCCCTTCTCCAGGAGTAGCCCTGCGCCCACGGGCACTGCCTTTACCCAGCCCCCTTCTCCAGGAGTAGCCCTGCGCCCACGGGCACTGCCTTTACCCAGCCCCCTTCTCCAGGAGTAGCCCTGCGCCCACGGGCACTGCCTTTACCCAGCCCCCTTCTCCAGGAGTAGCCCTGCGCCCACGGGCACTGCCTTTACCCAGCCCCCTTCTCCAGGAGTAGCCCTGCGCCCACGGGCACTGCCTTTACCCAGCCCCCTTCTCCAGGAGTAGCCCTGCGCCCACGGGCACTGCCTTTACCCAGCCCCCTTCTCCAGGAGTAGCCCTGCGCCCACGGGCACTGCCTTTACCCAGCCCCCTTCTCCAGGAGTAGCCCTGCGCCCACGGGCACTGCCTTTACCCAGCCCCCTTCTCCAGGAGTAGCCCTGCGCCCACGGGCACTGCCTTTACCCAGCCCCCTTCTCCAGGAGTAGCCCTGCGCCCACGGGCACTGCCTTTACCCAGCCCCCTTCTCCAGGAGTAGCCCTGCGCCCACGGGCACTGCCTTTACCCAGCCCCCTTCTCCAGGAGTAGCCCTGCGCCCACGGGCACTGCCTTTACCCAGCCCCCTTCTCCAGGAGTAGCCCTGCGCCCACGGGCACTGCCTTTACCCAGCCCCCTTCTCCAGGAGTAGCCCTGCGCCCACGGGCACTGCCTTTACCCAGCCCCCTTCTCCAGGAGTAGCCCTGCGCCCACGGGCACTGCCTTTACCCAGCCCCCTTCTCCAGGAGTAGCCCTGCGCCCACGGGCACTGCCTTTACCCAGCCCCCTTCTCCAGGAGTAGCCCTGCGCCCACGGGCACTGCCTTTACCCAGCCCCCTTCTCCAGGAGTAGCCCTGCGCCCACGGGCACTGCCTTTACCCAGCCCCCTTCTCCAGGAGTAGCCCTGCGCCCACGGGCACTGCCTTTACCCAGCCCCCTTCTCCAGGAGTAGCCCTGCGCCCACGGGCACTGCCTTTACCCAGCCCCCTTCTCCAGGAGTAGCCCTGCGCCCACGGGCACTGCCTTTACCCAGCCCCCTTCTCCAGGAGTAGCCCTGCGCCCACGGGCACTGCCTTTACCCAGCCCCCTTCTCCAGGAGTAGCCCTGCGCCCACGGGCACTGCCTTTACCCAGCCCCCTTCTCCAGGAGTAGCCCTGCGCCCACGGGCACTGCCTTTACCCAGCCCCCTTCTCCAGGAGTAGCCCTGCGCCCACGGGCACTGCCTTTACCCAGCCCCCTTCTCCAGGAGTAGCCCTGCGCCCACGGGCACTGCCTTTACCCAGCCCCCTTCTCCAGGAGTAGCCCTGCGCCCACGGGCACTGCCTTTACCCAGCCCCCTTCTCCAGGAGTAGCCCTGCGCCCACGGGCACTGCCTTTACCCAGCCCCCTTCTCCAGGAGTAGCCCTGCGCCCACGGGCACTGCCTTTACCCAGCCCCCTTCTCCAGGAGTAGCCCTGCGCCCACGGGCACTGCCTTTACCCAGCCCCCTTCTCCAGGAGTAGCCCTGCGCCCACGGGCACTGCCTTTACCCAGCCCCCTTCTCCAGGAGTAGCCCTGCGCCCACGGGCACTGCCTTTACCCAGCCCCCTTCTCCAGGAGTAGCCCTGCGCCCACGGGCACTGCCTTTACCCAGCCCCCTTCTCCAGGAGTAGCCCTGCGCCCACGGGCACTGCCTTTACCCGGCCCCCTTCTCCAGGAGTAGCCCTGCGCCCACGGGCACTGTCTTTGGCAGCAGTGGTGGGAGGAGAGAGAACCCTCGAGCTCACTGATTGTAAACCACAGATGTGCTAAGGGGGGATATGATAGAGGTCTATAAAATCATGAGTGGTGTGGCGAGGGTGAATAAAGAAAAGTTATTTATTAGTTCCCATAATAGAAGAACTAGAGGACACCAAATGAAATTAATGGGGAGCAGGTTTAAAACTAATAAAAGAAAGTTCTTCTTCACACAGCGTGTAGTCAACCTGTGGAACTCCTTGCCAGAGGAGGCTGTGAAGGCTAGGACTAGAACAGAGTTTAAAGAGAAGGTAGATAATTTCCTGGAGGTTAGGTCCATAAAAGGCTATTAGCCAGGGGGTAGGAATAGTGCCCCTGGCCTCTGTTTGTCAGAGGCTGGAGAGAGATGGCAGGAGACAAATCGCTTGATCATTGTCTTCTGTCCACCCCCTCTGGGGCACCTGGCGCTGGCCACTGTGGGCAGACAGGCTACTGGGCTAGATGGACCTTTGGGCTGACCCAGTCTGGCCGTTCTGCTGTTATGTTTGTATGTGCTAGAACATTGCCCCTCATTCCCTGTCTATCTGCAGCAACAAACAGGCCTCTCTGACCATTGCAAAGCCACGCTACCTGGAGGAGCTGGAGTCCTACCTCAGGAAGGAGCTGCAGTCTCTGGACCTGACGAATGAGAACGCTCAGGAACTGAAGCTCCAGGTCGGAGGGAAGGGAGAGCCGGGTGCACAGAGCAGGCTGGGATGTGGTTTTCAACTGGCCATTGCGAGGGTCCTTACAAGAAAAGCAGGTGGCAAGAGAAGAGCCTTTGGCCTGTGCGGAATGAGAACCGGCTTTGCTTGGCACACGGGAGCAGGGGGCCGAAAGGAGTTTCACTGGGCTCGGATAATACTTAGCACCTCCGAGGGTGCCACCATTTCTGGACCCCTATCGTTTCCCCCCTGCTTTTGGAAACACAAGTGGGCCCCATGGGGAAAGGCAGCTGCTGCCATTCCTAACTCTGGCCTTGGTGCACTGCCCTTCCCTACCGTGACCCACATGACCAGGTCCCACATCTGACCAGCACTCCATGCTCCTCAGCCAGGGATCCAAGCATGCAGCTCACAGGCTGGAACTCATGCCAGACTGGGCGGGGCCAGCGAGCACCCTCCTCCTGCTGAGCCCCTTTGTGTAGCCTTGTGACAATGCCCTCCATGGGTCGGGTGGGGAAGGCTTCTTCCTTCTCTCTTCCATGCTCAGCCCTGCCTCCGCTTGCTTCAGGCACCTGCAGATCAGACCGCCCCAGGTTCCGGGCAGCGGCTCTTGCTCTGCTCTCCCCACTCACACACTGCGGGCATGTCGAGACAGAGGGAAATCCCCAAAGGGCCACAAGAGAGGCGGGAGGGGAAGGGTCGGGTGGATGGTCGTGGAGAGGACCAAAGAGGTAATGGAGGGCGGGAAGGAGGGTTCCGAAATGAGAATGTCCTTATGTAAACCCCCCAGCTGCCTCAGTAAAGGGGTGTCCTCTGCACCTAAGGAGGCCAGGAAGCCCTTCCTAGTGCATGGTATTCCAGCCCAAGGGAACTGCCACTTCCCACCAAAGTTGGACTGTGCCGTGCTGAGCACTGTTCGCACACACAGGGAGAGACAGCCCCTGCCCCGCAGCGCTGGTATCTAGACAGACAACACTGACAAAGGGCCAAAGCCATTTCTCTCCCTGAGGCACGTCTACCCTTAGAAAGAACTGACTTTGAAATAACATCAAAAGAGCATGTCCACAGTCCGGGGAAGCCTTGAAATCCATCAGAGGCAGGCTCCGTTAATGTGCACACGCTATCTCGACGTAGAGCCCCAGAAAGGACAGGGGAGTAATTAGTTCGAATTACTCTGGGCAGTCGCGATTTTGAAATCGCAGTGGCGGGTGCGTCCACATTAACTATTTTGAAATAAGCGTTCTTCCCCAAGGAAAGCAGGACAGCCCCTCATTTAGAAATAACAGGCTTGGTAGTGAGCACAAGCCGGTTGTTCTTTCGAAATAAGGGGGGGCTATTTCAAAATCACTCCCTGGTGTAGACCAGGGCTGATGGTCTAGTTAGGATTTGGCTCTTTCACTGCCCCCAAGGTTCAATTCCCAGTCAGGAACACAAGCACTGAAGAAAGATATCCAGGCTCTTTGGAGGCCTGCCCCACGGTGATCAGAGTCCAGCATGCACTAGAGGTGTGAGGAACTCAATGACCCTGCCAGCAGACCATTTCTTAGTGAAAATGAAATGAACAGAGGAAAACAGGAGTGGTTCATGACAGATCCATCCACAGGAACATAGTCCTTTTACACGGATCTGTTCCTGCCGTAGGCTGTTCTGCTTGGCAGTAAGTGTCTGAGTTAAACAAGGAAAGTTACCGAAAAGACCAGATTGTTTAGTTTCATTCCCAGGTCTAGCTCTGTAGGGGCTTGGAATTTGGTGTCCAGTTTGACTCCTGTACCAGCCTTTGCATGGATCTCTAGCCCAGACACCACATGCGAGGGATTTGGAGGTACTGGCAATAAACATCTTATAATCATCATGAAATCTACGGGCAACCCTCGATCAGTCACAGCTGGCTCCTATTCTGCAAGTAACTTACCTGCCAAGACGGCAGGCTACAGCAGACCACCCAGAGCAAACTTGCTCACCTCAAAACCTGAGGTCCTGTCCGCGCTGCTCAGACACGAAAGCTCCCAGGGCGTTTTTCATGAGCAAGGATTAGGTGTGGGACCCTTGGCCAGAATTTCCCATTCCTATCTGTCATCCGCCACCCCAGAGGGTGTTGCATTTCAGGGGCAAAGCAGAAACCATAGTTGTGGGACTTACTTTGGGAACCTGTTCTCGATATGTATCTGATGTCATTGTGTTTATTTTGGTGAGACTTAGCAGCATTTTTGAAAGGATGTTGACAGGTACGTCATAAGCTGTGCAGTCATTCAGGCTGCGTCTAGACTGCAGCTCTATTTTGGGATACCAGAGGTATCCCAAAATAGCTACTCCATGTCTTTTGAGCGTGCCAGTTATTTTGAAATATAACGGACACCTTATTCCGATGTCCTTGTAAACCTCATTCCACAAGGAGTAAGGGACGTTTTGGAATAGCAATTGATTTCGAAATAAGTGCTCCATAGACAGTGCCAAATTTTGAAATGGTCAAAATAAGATGTGCAATCGGCATAGCTTAATTTGTGTATCTTATTTCGACCAATGGTGCAGTGTAGACACACCCCCAGCGAGCAAGAGCGATTTCCTCTCCAGCTAGCCCAAAGCTCTGCATAAGAAATTCAGAGTCCTTCATAGTGCTCCCTTCTCTTCTTCTCTTAGCCCTACAGAGAGATCTTTGAGTTCTTCATAGAGGATTTCAAAACCTACAAGCCCTTGCTGTCTGCCATAAAGAACGAGTATGAAGTTACATTGGGTAAGATCTGCCTGGTGGGGAGTAACAATTCTAGACAAGTGGCCCTACCCGGTAGGTTAGCTGTATTGGGTAGTTACAGGATGAGCAATAGGGTCAGGCTTCAATGCCAAAATATTGTCAGGCCTGCTGCAAGGTGTGGGAAAGGGGGCAGTTGCCCCAAAGTCCGGCCATTCAAAGGAGCCTGGGGCTCCCAGCTGCTGTGTCTGCTACTGCGGCAGGGACAGCAGCTGGAGCCCCCGGCCCTGTAAATCTCTGCTGGAGCGCTGTGCGTGGCTCCAAGGGCTGGGGGGCGGACATGGCTGTCCCTGAACATAAGCAATGGGCTCTTGCCAACGACCTCTTGGAGAGCCCGTCAGTCTAGTCATCAGTGGGGTCTGGAGAATTTCAGCCCGTCCAGCTCCAGATTGGGCACACGCCAGGCAGCCGCCGTGGCTCCAGGATGGCTTTCTTGGTGGCGTGGGCCGACGTCTTCCACCACGTGGCTCCCATTGCACTGGAAACCAGGGCTGGGATCACACCTCCAGCAGGGCAGACAGAGGCTCAATGGGCAGCTTCCAGGCAGCTCCTCTGTCCATCGCGCGCGTGCACTTTCTAAACACCTGCCGATGGACCGCAACAGCCACTGCCCCGTTGTCAGATACCCAAAGCCCCATCCATTGACAGGGTGTCCTGGAGGTGAGCTATTCTACGTCCTGGCCTGCCGCCGGGGGGCTGGTAATTCTAAAGGGACAGGGCTGCCTTTAGAACCCCCACCAGAGCGCCACGTGGGATGCTCCAGAGCCCCTTGCTGAATGCTCCGGCTGGCTCGGAGGGCCAGCAGGGGCCTGGCCCAGTCCATGCGGATGGCACTGGCTGCTCCAGCCCTGCCCCTTCTGGCTGAGGCCCCACCCTTTCCGGGAGTATAGAGCCAAGCCCACCCCAAACACAGTGCCCAGGGGCCTGGCCATCCGGTCAGCTCCCTTGCCCATTACTATTCCCCTGAGCAATGATAACGCTGAAAGGTTTAGAAAACAGAAGCTAGAAGGGAAGGCTGAAGGAACTGGCCTTGTGTAGTTCAGGAAGGAGAATTCTGAGAGGGGACATGAGAGCGGTTTTCAGGTATCTGGAAGGGTGTCACAAAGAAGAGGGGGAAAAATTATTCTCTTTGGCCTCTGAGGATAGGACAAGAAGCAATGGGCTGAAACTGCAGCAAGGGAGGTTTAGGCTGGACATTAGGAAAAACTTCCTGCCTGGCAGGGTGGTTAAATACTAGAATAAGTTGCCCAGGGAGGTTGTGGAATCTCCATTGCTGGAGATATTTAAGAGCAGGTTAGACAGACGCCTGTCAGGGATGGTCTAGAGCAGTGTTTCTCAACCAGGGTACGAGTACCCTTAGGGGTACTGGAGAGAAGTCTGGGGGATACGTCAACACAACTGAAATTTGGAGAAAACTGAATTTGTTTAAAATTTTACAGCACTTTATCATTTTTGTACTTTTCACACCCAAAAATTTAATCACCCAGCTATGATTAAGTTGTTTAAACAAATGTGTTGCAATGGTAGAAAAAAAAATGTGTGTGTCTGAAAACTGAAGGTAGTGGGGATACTTAACGTTTTTTAAAGGGGTACTTCATGAAAAAGGTTGAGAAACACTGGTCTGGACGGTGCTTGGTCCTGCTTGACCTCGCAAGGGCCCTTCCAGTTCTAGGATTCTGATTCTATGCACCAGCTGATCCCTAAAGTGCTTTCTTTGTGCAGCAGAATCCTGGACGGTGGCAGCAGGCTACTAACTGGGGAGAGAAGTCAGTTTTAAATACCAACCGCAAACACAAAGACACTTTTCCCTTGAGCACATTGATCACCCCAATCTAGTGGTGCATGAGCTCCCTCTGCGGTCTGGTTTCCATTCCCCTCTCAGGCCAAACTGTGTTGCTTCTTAAGCATCTATTAGCCACTTGGTTTATTTTACGCTTCCATATAAGTTCGGGTGCAACATTCCCTATAGAGTCTGGGGGAACCCAGCTTCCTGTGTTCATAGTCCAACTATTTTTGGAAGCCAAGTTTTCTCGGGGCAGACTCACCTCTGCAGCGCCTCCTGCTGGCTGCTCCAGGGAATTAGCCCTTTCTCAGCAGGGTGCCTCCTTCTGGCTGGCGTCTCCCCATCCTCACTCCACGCTCCTGTTCTAGACCCACATCGCTCCCCGAAATCGTGTTCTTGTCAGGACACTCCCCTCCGGCAGTGCCCACCCCAATGATCTCTCATCCCCCTTCCGGGGGTGTTGTATCAGCAGTCCTTAGTCTCTACTACCACTGTGGCCAGCTGTGGCTTCCAAGCTGCACCCCTCTGTCACAGGGGCAAGCCACAGTCTGTATGCGCCATGCCTTGGTGGTGTGGCCTGATGCAAGGGGAAGAACCCAGGCCTGCCCACTACTCTGGGTCCTGTCTGACCCAGAGACCCTCCTCTACTCCCCTTCACGGCCTCTTGCTCCTGGCCCACTTCCCCTGCGACCCTTTGCAGCCTCCTGGCCCTTGTAGCAAGGCCGCAGCCCGGCAGGGATCAGGCAGGAGCCTCCCTCTCTAGCCCCCACTGATCCTACCCCACACTGCTCTATTGAAAGTTCATGTCCAGGAACTAGGCCCTGCACCTTCCCTAGTCAGGGCCCAACTAGCTCTGGCTGCTGAGCAGCCCCTTATATACAGGGCTGCCCCAGCAAGCTACACCCTGATTGGCTACTAACAACTTCTCCTTCATTGGCTGGGGCTCTGCACCAGCTCCCTCCAGCCTGCATCAACCCCTTCCAGCCACAAGCGAATACACTGGTCTGGCTGGAGAACCTAGCTGCAGTGGCAAGAAATGGACTTGGAAGCATTAAGCATAAAACCAGGAATGGAGCAGGGGTTGAGTTGCGTTGCAGCTTGGAGATCTGTGTTGTGAGGAGCTACCCACTCCTGCCTG